CATGTGTGCGCATGTACACATGACCTTCAGTGCTTTCTTTTCTGTGCTTTGATTCTATAAACCCTGCTTCAGCTCGTCTAATCTCAACATTCAATCACTTCCCTCTTCCAATACTTGCCGGAAAATGACATGTACTTTGAAATTCTGCCAGGGGAAGTAGAATGAATTATGGAAATCAAGCTAACACAGTTATATAAGGCAACTACTTATTCTGTCCATGAATTTGATTTTTCTAAGGTCAGAATCTGGATTGTGGAGACGAGCAGGATATACACTGCCTGATTTCCTTGAATGACAGAAAGATGTAAAGGCTGGAAAGTAAGAACAAACAGCTGCTCTTGGCTGAGTATATCAAGGGCAACATCCAGTTTTCTTAGAATAGGCCTACTGAAATCAGTGGATCTTAGCTTCAGTCATTGACTTATATTTGTTTACTTTAAATATGGTGGAATTTGAATTCAACTTATTGTACAAGAGATAGGTGATGCAAAGAACAATTTTTGAAAATAATTAAAAATAAAGCTCAGCCACCGCAAAAAGTAGCCCAAAACCTCCCCTACCACCCAAATCCCCATTAGAAGATGATTATTTTTATGCCCTTACAAAAAGCCAGAAGGATAGAAGCTAAACTAACCCCAGGAGATAACGTGTTCCAACAAACTCAGGGCCACTACTGAGAATGTTTGCCACTTCTTGGGGATGGAACCCTCAGCATCCTTTCCCAGGGTGATCACACAGGATAAGCAATTTAATCAGAGAGGATGGCCCTGATGATAAATGGGCATCAAGTCACATATAGTTTTAAAGACTGACACCAGCAATTTGAATTGGACTTGAAAACCTATCAATCACCAATGTCACGACATAGTACAGGTGCTATGCTGCTAAAGAGGCTCACTCTTGTTACCAGTCAGCATTTTGAATCAAATGCAGATTTGGGGTAGTTTTCAAAGGCAGCCCCATGCAGAGTTCAGGTAGTCCTTGCTTAATGACCCTAATTGGGACTGGAATTTCAGTCGCTAAGTGAAGCAGTTGTTAGGCAAAACATCATGTGATCACACCACTTAGTGACAGCAGTCCCGGTAGTCCCGGTTGCAGTCATTAGGCAAGGACCATTGTTAGGTGAGGACCTCATGCTTCTCCTGCCCTGCAATGCTTGCCTCCACTTCAACCCCCCTACCTGCCTATCTCCCCCCATCTCTGCCCTTTTGGCCACCCTGCACTCCCCCACTGCTGCCTACCCATGTCACCCCCCACCAGCCCTAACTGACCTTTGCCATCTTCTTCCTCCTGCTGTTGACAAGGTGCACCTGGCTGTGGCAGCGGCTTGGGGGGGCAGGGGGGGTGTGGTGCAGGGGGAGCAAAAAGGGAGGGAGGGGGGGGATGAGGAGGTGGGGGGGGGTGAGATGGGGAGGCGGCAGTGGGGGAGTGCGGGGTGGCCAAAAGGGCAGAGATGGGGGGAGATAGGCAGGTAGGGGGGTTGAAGTGG